GTAAATTAATTTTCATTAATTTAACCAAGAATTTTAATCTTTTTTTTTATTAAACCAATGCCGCGAAAAAGAAAATCCAAACCAAAGTACTTAACATTGATACAAATTAACAATATTGTATCTCCGCTCAGCTCTGTTAACTTGCCGCTCAGGTCTGTTAATTTGCCGCTCTCAATTTTCGGTTCGAGTGGTGAGCTTCTAGAGCGATTTTGGTAGTGTTTGACAATTCACACGGCTATTCGTAATTGCTGCTTCTCTGTTTTAAATGTTCTCTGGCACCAGCGTACTTTGCAACCGCTTGAAGCGCCTCCAAGGCAACTTAACACGATTATGTACATATTTGCTTATTACTTCACATTTACTTTTCTGCAACACTTTTAATTATCTTCATTTTAATTTGTTAAATACATAAATTTTGCCTCTTCTATCTTTCGAACTGCTTTCAACATGTTTTAGTGCGTTTGTAGATAGATAATCAGCGCTAACTTGTCGCCAAACACAAAAATACTTGTCGTTACGACGACGACAATCGGGTATACGTAACCGGAACGACCAAAATCTACATGAGGCTAAGGACTGTCACTCCAGCTGATTCCCTCATTAGGTTAGGTTACGATGATTACTACTTGGCACAGTCCAGCAATAACATTCGCCGTTACCACGTTTCAAGTCTTCCTATATTCGACAGCCACAATAAATGGTAACGGACTGTAGAGAAGTAACGGCACTATTGAGCCATAAGTGAGTGATATCTGTTAATTCGGTTTGGAAAACGCTTCTGAAGTTAAGGAGAGGGTTTTATATAAAATTAATTTCTGTCTGGAATTCTAATGGACAATTGGCAAAATATTGGGAAGGTATATCTATCCAGTTCACGTAAAGTTGCTGAAATAGTGTCCAGAATTTTCGAGTGACCGAACCTTCCCAGCAGATAATTTCTAGAGCTAAAAGCTCCTGCGAAAGGCATTACTGAGAGTCAAGAGGCTTTCCACTTTGCATTCCTTTCTCCTTAATTTTTTTGTATGGAGGGGCACAAATTGAAGGGCTTTTGCTTTCGCTACCAGAAGAGCTTTTGTGGGACGGACTTCAGAAGGGCTTTTGGAATAGTTCTTCTAAAGCTCCTTATTTAATTCATACAAATTACATATTCGTTTTAGCTTCATATGAAGTATGTTTTCGGCACTTTTTTCAGCCGCTATTGGGTAAGCCTACATGAATTATCTTCTGGGTAAGGTCGGACAACCGTTCTGTACATCCACTGTACTGTGTGTGTGTATTGTGTGGGGTTTCAGACCTCGTCGCTTCCCCACCGCTGATTTACAGCCAAAGAGCTGATTATGGCTTATGGATGCTCCGTAAGCCGCCGACTCCAATCCCACTTGCTGTCAAGAATTATGCCGAGGTTTTTAACCTTATTGTAGAGTGTAAGCCCCACACCATTGAGAGAGGGTGACTGGAAATTATGCAACTGAATCAAGTGCTATTACAACAACAACTAAAATGTTCACAAATATCTAAGTGATGCTTTTAAAGCGAGCATAAGTTATGTCCATATTTTTATACCCGAGCGCACCTGTGCACAAGGGTATTATAACTCTGTTCACATAACGGTTGTTTGTAACAGGCAAAACGAATCGAGATAGGTATAGACAAATGTATACATAAATGAATGAAAAAAGAAATCGATTAAGCGGTGAATGTCTGTCCGTCCGTCTGTGCACACGATAACTCGTGAGATATCTTAACAAAACTCGGTGTGTGCACTTCTTTTGAGCGTAGGACGTATGGTATTGATAATGGGAAAAATCGGACAATAACCACGCCTACTTCCCATATAGAGAATGTTTTCAGAAATACTAAAACTGCGATATTTTGGTAACTAGTGAAGCTCATTCACTCAAAATTGATATTTACAATGATTTTAAGAAAAAAAATAATAATATTAGAAAGTTTTGCAAAATGGGCGTAGCCGCGCCCACTTATGATTAAATGTGTATATCTTGGTAACCGCTCATCCAATTTCTTTCAAGCTTTCCACAATTGTTGGCCTTCGTAGAGCATACCAAATAGTTCAAAATGTTTAAAATCGGACAATAACAACACCCACATCTTATTTATTCAAAATTGATGTTTGCAATAATTCTTTAGCACAAAATACGTTTATGATAAAATTTGTAAAATGGGCGTGGCACCGCCCACTTATGACCACATATGTGTATCTCGGTAACCGTTCGATCAATTCGTACCAAACTCGGTACGATTGTTGTGCTTGCCACGTAAAAGAAAAATTCTGAAATTACACCCACTTTTCATATAACGGTAAATATCAGAAATGCTAGAAACCTCGATATTTCGAAATATAAGGACGTTAATGATACTAACAAAAATCCCTTGAAAATAAGTAGCATTATTATCTCATTACGTCTAACCGAACGTTCTATCGAAGATGTTTGAAATAGGGGTAAAACCACCGCTGCTTACCATGTAGCGGTAGTTTTCGGAAAGGTGAAAAAACTATTCGCCC